CTGCGCAGAGACACAGAGACACATGGGATTAACACATGAGAGGTGACAGCAGGTATAACATCAATGAGGATTATCTGCAAAAGACCTCTGATTGATTGGATTGAGGATGATCTCTCGTTGACACTCTGTAGATAAGCATATAAATATCTAACACGTACAGTAGGGTTATGCTGAGCAATAAACAGCATGTGATGACATCTGAATATCAAAGGCTTGAGGTGAGCTCTTTTGATTTCATTAACCACCCACAACACCCGGCATAGTGGAGCCATAGCAACCAGTCAGAGCTGGAATTGTTTGCACGCTACATTGATTTTTCTTAACATCTTGAATTTGCTTTTGTTTTTAGATTCTCAGTGATTTTTTTTTCCATTTATTTGTAAGCATTACTTTTTAGGTTAACTTAAAATACAGAGAAAATATGATTCATTTGATTTACAAAAACAAAACATAAATAAGGTGAGTGGTTGCAAAAAATTCATATTCATACTGGAAACTTTAAAGTGTCTATTTTTTGTTTGTTTGGTTTTGTTGTAAAAAAAAATGGTGGATATAGCAATAAGTACATAATATCAACATGATTGATCAAAGTTTCATAAGCAGATGCTCTTGGCCTGGTCTCTACTATACAAGCATAACTTTTCTCCACACAGATATTATTTATGGAATAATAAAGACATTCTTTACAAAAATAAATTACTCTATTTTGAAAATTGGTTTAAAAACAACTTTCTTCAATTTGGCCAGGTCTTTAACTCAGAAGGCAGACTTTATAACTATTAAGATTTCTTGCAGAAGTTTAACATTCCTGCTACTCCTAGTGAATATGCCATTGTTGTAAACTCTATCCCTTCTGGCGTGTTTATTCTAATGCAAGGTGTTACACTACCATGGCCATACACTCACTCCCTGAATTTAATCGACACAATGGTTGGAAGTGTGTGCGAACAGAAAAATAACTGTAAAATTAGAGGCCTCTTTCAGAAAGAGAGATAATAACAATCCCCTATTGGAACAACACTGTTGAAAATATTCCATGGGAGAAAGTATGGACTTTGCCTCATAAGTATCTGATTACAAATAAAGTAAAAGAAGTAACATTTAAATTAATTCACAAATGTTATCCTACTAAAGCCTGTCTTCAGAAATATAAGCCTGACATTGATTTAAACTGCTCATTCTGTCACTCTTCGGAGGAAGACTCTATTCATTTGTTCTGGCAGTGCTCCTTCACGAGATTCTGGCCAGATTTGTTGATCTTTATTCAATCTTATATTATGAGTGACTTTTCCTTTTCTTTTAAAGTTATATTCTTTGATTTGTTTGATGATTCTAAAGAAAACATGGAAAAAAGTATATATAGTTAATTTGTGTATTCTATTAGCCAAGTTTCATATTCACAAACAGAAGTTTAGTGGCTCTAAACCTTTTTTTGATCTGTTCAAAATCCACCTAGACCAATATTTGGAAACTATCCAGCATTCTCTTCATCCAAAAGCAACAAAAACGGTATCCTTATTTTCTTCTTTTGTGTCTCTTTAAGGTGTAACTTTATTTCATCAGTTTTATTTTTGTTACCCTGGCGTTTATTTGTCTTTGTGTGTATTTCTGTGCATTTGTTTATTTATTTGTATTATTTGTCTCTATGTATGTAATTGTATATGAACGACCTCTTTAATAAAATAAAAAAATGACTTACTGATTCAAAAAAATCAGATCACATTGAATCAGATTGCCTGTAAATCAATCAAACTCCTGGTGAAGGGTCCATTGTATTGCTTCAGGTAAAACTGAAGAGCTTGTGACAAATTTAAACAAAATCAGGTCAAAACATTTATATTATGGATCTGAAAGAATTAAATGTCATAAAAAAAAGTTTGCTTCAGTTGGAAAAAACTTTTAAAATATATACAATAAATTGGTTGAAAAGCAGGCTCTGAGTTGCCAATACTTTAGTTTTTTTGCACATTCATTAGTTATTTCCTACAGTATAAGCTAAAAATGTCAATAAAAGTCACTTTGTTTAACTGCAGTGGTATTTTTAACATCAAAAGTTATCAAGCAGATATCCATGTCCCATAATCCAACAGAATCAATCTTTACCATACAGTTAATAACAATCCTACAACCATGCTAGCATCACAGCAGTGAGTTTTGAATGGACAAACAACACTTGCATTTTCTTCAGGAAATGTAAAAATCTAGTTACACATATAATAAGAGGCATTGCCTTTTAGAACACCTACTCGAAATACTTTATAGCATGTGTTTTATGGCCTCATCTAAGGGTGAGACTCCATTTCCCCAACCTAATCTCACACCAGCAAATCAGCACATCCAAAGTCTCCGACAAGTCACATTCAGGCTGTCTGAAACCAAAGGGAAAAGTGAACGCAAAGCCCAGCCAAGCAAACGAGTCCCACATTGTCCCTTCAGTGTCTACTGGAGCGATGACTGACAGCTGTTAGGAGAACCGCCTTACCAGAAACGCATTTATATGCTCCGGCGTCTGCCTTAATCAAGACAATGTGAACTGAGAGAGAGAGAACGCGCTAAATGAACAGAGTAATTAACTGATGGTTTCATTTTTCACTGGGGGGGAAGTGGAGTCGTAACTGAGAGGAGAGAGGGTGATGAATCAGTCTTTATGGGTGTCAGGTGTCAAATGTAGCAAGCGACAAATGAACATTAATAGAACAAATCATCTGTTTTGTCTGTGAGCTGATGTCTGACACGGTTCTGACACTTGAGAGCATGACTGATTTTTTTTTTGTCTCACTGAAAGACCATGTCTATACTGTATGTTGTACTTGCAGAAATAAAGGCAAGAAAACTTTCACTGGGGTGGTTAGACTTCAAAATTTTTGTGTTTTTTCGTACAAAAAAAATCTTTTGAGATTTTTGTACACTTTATTTCCCAGTGATGGGTTGCAGCTGAAAGGACAGCCGCTGCGTAAAGCATATGCTTCTGTAGATAAGTTGGCGGTTCATTCCGCTGTGGCATCCCCAGATTAATGAAGGGACCAAAAAGAAAATGAATGAATATGTAGTTTAGGCTGTAAGGTTTTGTCTGAGCAGTTTGGAGATATAGTTTTACATGACTTGCAACCCTGCATTAAAAATGTGTCATAATGGTCCATTTTTGGAAAGTTTGTAGTATCTGAAAGCTTAATAAATAAGCTTTACATTGATGTATGTACTGTTTGCTGGGATAGGAAAATATATGGCCAAATATTTTAAAATCTCAATTCGAAAATTTAATTTAAATGGTCCAAATTAAGTTCTTCACTATGTAAATTACTAAAATTGGATTAAAAAATCTATTTACAGTAGGTATTTAAAAAAAAATCAAGACACATGGTAATTCAAATTCCATTCAATTCAAATGATGATTTTTGGCATAAAGAAATAATCAATAGTTCTGACCCTGAAAACAAAAATAATGTCTGCAAAGTGGTTGCAAACAATTTATATGGGTTGAATTTAAACAAACAAATTAAATTTAGAAATGTTCAACTTATTGTGTTTGTTTAAATTCAGCTCAAATAAACTGTTTACAAACACATAACTTAAAAAATGCAACAGATCCAAGGAATCATCTTTAAATCAATCTTTTTTTTTCTTCAGTGTACGGTACTGTGCATTTTTTTTGGCTGTTGGCAAAAAAAATAAAAATAAAAATAAAATAAATAGTGCAAGATGGCTTTTTTGCAATGTTTGTGTAGTTAAGGGTCACATATAGCAAAACGATAAAAGAAAACTACTCTACACACATATTACTGAATAAACTGATTTAAGATTATTACAGAAAGTTTAAATTTCCTTGTAAGGAGCTAGTGTAAAACATATTAAGACTTTAAAAATGTACAGTGCTTCAGCAAAAATGAAACACTGAAAAAATGTTTCACTGATTACACATAATTAAATATAAATATATAAACTACACAACCACTTAGTTTGTACCAGCAATAAAAGCTCATTACGTCACCTTACATCACAAAATGCCTCTATCATAACTTAAAATTTTTATTTCAAAAGAGTGTGATGTTTATGAAATGCCCTGCATTAAAAAAAATAAAAATCTTAAAATAATCTTCAAAGGAATATGTGTATGATCCCTAACCTGATTTCACCAAGTAGGACATGTTCCTAGGACAACATTCCAATCAGCCAATCAGAATGAAGGGATACAGTATGTTTTACCATTTATGTTAAGCTTAGGCTTACGGTTAGGTTTATGCACTTCTACATGATTGTTATCTAACTATTATTCCCCTCTGATTTTAGGAATAATTTACATTTATGGTTGGGTTTAAGGATAGGTAATAGGTATATTCAAACAAAAATGATGCTCCCGAAACAACATAGATCGCCACCTTAGAATTATAAGGTTCTATTTGACATATTCTTATTAAAAGACAACTTGTTTACACTATGTGATAGTGTTGTATAAGTTGTTTACATTTAAAAAAATTTTATTGAAAAATTAAAAAAGGTTTTTTCTACAAAGTTGAACTCTAGCTTGGCTCTGAAAGGTTCTTTCTGTGAGCCGATCAGCATTTCGAATGCATGCACGAGGATCAATCAGGATCAGCTTTATTTATCATTCCACTGCACTGCTCCATTGACAGTGGGAAAGACCAGAAAGAAACATACAAACAGAATTGACTAAATAATGCTGCACCACACAAATTTGAGAAAAAAACTTAAAACTGAAAAGTGCGTAAATGTGATGATTTAGAATTGTTTTTTGACATTGAGATTAAATGAAAAAGAAACTTTTTATTAAAAATATTTTTATTTGTGTATATTATAGTCAGTAAAACATTTTTCAGTGTTTATTATTATTATTTTTTTTTTAAGTTTTTTAAATTTGATATTAACCCTTGAAGGGCAAATACTTCATATAATTCAATAAATATAATTCAATAATTCATATAAAGCACATCATTCAATAAATATATCCTGTATAATACCATATCAATGACATAATACTAACA